AAAAAACCGTCTCCGGACTAAAGAGGGTTCATCGTACTTCGTTTATAAACAAACGTCTGCGGACTAAAGTGGGTTCACCGTACTTCGTATATAAACAAACGTCTCCGGACTACGAGGGTTCATCGTACTTCGTTTATAAACAAACGTCTCCGGACTAAAGAGGGTTCACCGTACTTCGTATTTAAACAAATGTTTCCAGACTACGAGGGTTCATCGTACTTCGTATATTAACAAATGTTTCCGGTCTAAAGAGAGTTCACTGTACTTCGTATATAAATAAATGTTTCCGGTCTAAAGAGGGTGCACTGTACTTCGTATATAAACAAACGTTTCCAGACAAAGAGGTTTCACCGTACTTCGTTTATAAACAAACGTCTCCGGACTAAAGAGGGTTCACCGTACTTCGTATATAAACAAACGTCTCCGCACTACGAGGGTTCATCGTACTTCGTATATAAACAAACGTCTCCGCACTACGAGGGTTCATCGTACTTCGTTTATAGACAAACGTCTGCGGACTAAAGTGGGTGCACCGTACTTCGTATATAAACAAACGTCTCCGGACTAAAGAGGGATCACCGTACTTCGTATATAAACAAACGTCTCCGGACTAAAGAGGGTTCATCGTACTTCGTTTATAAACAAACGTCTCCGGACTAAAGAGGGTTCGCTGTACTTCGTATATAAACACGTGTCTCCGTAATAAAGGAGTTCCGCTGTACTCTTAACCATGCTTTATTGACTAAATTTTACAAAATAAGTATTCACTGTATTCCATAGATATGTTTTGTTATGCGCGAACAGTCTGGTTTCGAAATGAAAGGACCTACAGTGGCTATAGGGTTTTATTTCTTCACCACCTTAGTGATGTAAACATGCATTTTAAGTATCACTATGAATACTTATGACTTAATTACCCATATCATACATATATGTATTGTAGACCCATAAATGATTATTCAAACCCAAATAAATGTTAAGAAAGTTGCATTTAGTAATGACCTTTTTATCATTGTATAACACAAACATGAGTGTAATGTTATTTTCAATATATTGACATTTAAATTGTCGTTGCCTATACATTATATTAAAACTGAAATGATAAAATGTTCACACGCAAAAGAAAAATATATGCAAAGACTAGTTGGGACCCTCACCCGAAATGTTTAATGGTGTGTTTATACATCGTCTGGTTCATTGACTGTCATGTGTCAGAAAGCTTAGCCAGGTAGCTAGACTTTTAATCTTCCTTAGGTAGACAGTGCAATACGTACGAAACTAGAAAATTAAATATTTGATTTTAAAAATGTTCTTAGATGACTGCACAAGGTCCGCCCATGAATCCGCCCTGCATTTAGATCAAGGGTCCAAAAACATGCTGATATCAATTTCAAATGGTATTGCCTGTTCGCTGTAAAGTTGCACTCGAGATTATTTTAATGCATTATACAATTTTTTGTGAATTACGCGCTCTGGCTGTATAGTATTTGAAATAGTTTTACACAAAATGTGTACGATCACCTATGAAAAATCAAATTATATTTATATCTAAAATACATCCGACTCGATTTCATTAAAAACATGTTGCTGTTCATCTGTCAAACAAAATAATGAGTAAGTCTTTTTAATTTCCTGACAAATATGTCGTGTACATGTACAGTTGAAATGGACATAATGAAATTGATTACCTGTCAGTAATAATCAATTTCAATTGATCATGTTTATGGTGTAGTTTTGATTTCATGGTCAAATCTTTAGAATGATTTGGTACACAGTGAACTGAAGCATTTAACCTTTGTAATAGCTTTAAAATTTGTTTAATTGGTCGGTATTTAAAAAAAAAATCATAAAGTTGTAAAATGCAGACTTTTTGCAGAACGTAATTCATCAAAATATTCATATATAATAACACTTCGAAATGATAAAAATACCCGGACCAGTGACCGCGAATGATATTATAATCACACTTTTGACTGAGCGGATTTCGGTAAATTCAATTCCAAAATAATTTCTAAACCGGTCTCGACTAATGCATTTCAATGTGTCGACAGTTCTTTGAGCCATTTTCACTTTGAAGAAATACCTTGAATACATATTTCATTTAATAAAATAATTATTTACATTTCTGGGTTTTTTTTGATGATTTTGATCATTTCACGCTTCAGAAATTTCTCCTCATATAAATATTTACACTTACTGCAAATTAAAGATTTTCTGTTTTATGATGTTTTAATACTGTAGTTCTAATAAAAGGATAATTTGGTCTGTGTAATTAAAAATAAAAACTAATTTAAAAGTCAGTCGATTTAACACACAGTTCCATAGGCTTACAGGAGATACGTTTCAACGGTGAAAAAAATGTTCATTACGTAAAAGTGCAAAACATCTGAAATGATCCAGGAAAAATAATTTAATAGCAAAACAATCTTAATTGGTATACATACAAACTTGTGTATGTTTAATTTGTTAAATGGAGTGACTTCTTATCCCAGGAGAAAAATAAACAGAATGAGGATGAGTATGAGAATTTTGGGGCAATGTAACCCCCCTCCTCCGATCCCTACCTCCAAAATAAATAAAAACGAGTTGCCTGTATGCTGAAAAAGTTGGGACTGTTTAAAAGATGTCGGCTGCCAAAACAAATAGAAGGTGACTTCTCAGAACATGTTAGTTTTTCTTCTACTTGAAAACCCTTTTAGCGATCAGCGAATGTACTAAAGGAAAAGATAATAGACCAGAGTGTTATAAAATGCTAAAATTCCACTCCAGAAAAGCGTCTTTATTACAGTACAGTGTTTGCAAGGTGACGGGAGCCGGCAATCGGGACGTTCAGTCGACGACGAGTTTGAATTTACTCAAAAAACAGGTTCATAAATTAATTCTGAGTGCTTATCGACCTATGATATAGGTTAAGAAGCCTTTAACGATTACGCTAATCAATACTGGTTGCAAAATGTCCTATAAATAAGCAGAAATATGTGTTTTAAAGAGGTGACATGGATTTATATTAGTACGGTTTGGACACTCCGTAACTTACGACTGTGTACGGTTGTGATATTGGATGCAAAGTTGTAAATTTGTACGGTGGGGACAGTTACGTCAAATAAACCACGAAGCAATAAAGCTCCCTACCCTCGCAGGCTTGGTCCGCGACATAAACAAACATACTTATATTCGTTTTATATACTCCAGAGAGATACACAATTGGCAACGCTAATTTTCAAAACGCATGTAGATCATTTTATTTCACAATGGCATTTCCCCGTATCCAAAATGAACAACAACGTGAAAATCAATAAGTCTAGAATGAAAACACAATAAAGGACGGTGTTCATCAGGGTTCAACGATATAACGTCACATATCTCCAATGTTTTTGTCTGCCTTGAGACAATTTTACAGCAGCCTGTCCCTGTAAAATTGGTGAATATAAAGTATTAATTTCACTTTTAAAAACGGGTTGATTTTCCACCTTTGTCTTCATTTTAGGGATATAAAACACTGTTTTGACAAGCAGCCTGTTTCTGTCAGTAAAACATGGAGAAAAGGGTCACTGCAATCATAATTTATTTTTGAACGGTTTTCCACGAGTAGAACTCTTTCGTAAAGGAGATTCGTATCAGAATAAGGTAGCATACATCCTTATGTCACTGTAAGGTAACATGCATCATTAACACGTTTCTTACACGTTAGATGAAACTCACACACACACAAAAATCAAACTTATTTAGTTCAGTTTTAGCTCAGGTTTTGATTGCACTAGGTTGTTAAGGAAAACCAGAGTATATCTGGCAACGCGGTAACATTAACGGAAAACGAAATATAAATCATTCAAAAATGAAAGTACAGTTATACGAAATATTCAAAAAACTCATAAAGCCTATCGAAGCAAAATCGAACGTGGCAGTCGGGTCTGTGTCATCATTTAAGTCACAAATGGAGGATGGCACAATCAGAAATGTATTCAGAAAACTGAAATGACGAGATATCTCATTTTGATTGGATAAATCAAAGACGGCAAATTGGGACTAGGGACATCGGTCCGATTGCGTTTTCAAATAATGATCAGAAAGACGTCCATCTGTTAACTATCTTTGGTAACAGACACTGACGATGATTTGATTCCCATAAAATAATAACTTTTTAAATCCACACAATCATGGAAAAACGGAAGAACGAATGATGAATGACGTCATTTGCCCAGGTATTGTGAATTTTTACACCATTAACACTATCAAAAGAAGAAGAATGCCCCAGGGTCTAAACTGTCGTCACCGTCCAAAAGTTGCTGCAATCTCTGAGAGGATACAACGTTTCCCAACTTCCGGCCACGATGGGATCGTTTAGGTTTGCTGATTCCAGGAATTGGAGACGCTTCTCGGTCCATTTCCCGTAGACGGCTTCGATATTCCGAGTTCGAGCCTTCCGATCTTACTGAGTAAGATCCTTGCGTTTCCGAAAACCTTTCCGATGACGTATTTATGGATGGCAGTTTGAAATTGACGATAGGTAACGTTGCATTTGATTTACGACTTGAAATCGACAACTTCCGTGATTTTGACCATTTTGGTCCATCTTCCGTTTTGATAGGTTTCGTATTGCCGGTTTCATCTTGAGACTTCCTGGCACGGTTGACAGAATATAGTTGATTCACGTAAATCCCCTTGAGTTTCAAATAGGCCTTTTGTTTGTTAATATTTCCAGAAGGATTCACTATCGGTTTTAACGTGTCTTTCTTAGATTTGCGTTTTTGGAGATTATTTAGTTCTAATTCTAAAGTAGACAATTTGAGGTCGGCTATGACCTTATTGTCTGTCTTCAGTCCGACTGTCTGGTTTTGCCGGAAGCTTAAGTCCCGCTTCCGGTCAGCGTCCCGCCCTCGGTAAACACTGCGCATCGTGTAGTATTTTGGCCCACCGGCCGCAGCGGGGAAACTGCCGTGAACATACGGCAATTGCGATGAGGATATTCCAACGAAATCGTAGTTATTTCCTGACATTTTGGTAAAAAATAAGACTAGCTTGGTATCACAATCATTTCCAAATGGAAATAAGTTTCAAAAACAAAAGCTTAAGTTAATTAAGCAGTAGTCGAATTATCAAAATGCAAAACCAAAAGCATGCAATTCCAATCCTCTGGCGTTGACGAGAAGACACAATTATGTCCTGTATAAACTTTCCAACGGGGACAGTATTACACGATCAAATTAGACCAGCGATCCCTAACGGTTGAAAGCAGCTTTGACAGTGTACGTACCCATTAAGTGTTTAGGGCTTCTTGAGTGATTTTTTTAACAAATCTTGAATTCTGGGAAGTATGAAAGTTTCGTATCAGTTTTCACAACGAACCGGAAAAAACGTTCAGCCAATGGAAGGCTCATATAAAATGTCAGCAAATCGCAAACAGCATCGGAAACACACGCCTCCTGTGACACGTGACGTGTTGGAAGGACTTCACGTGCGCTTCAGGTCTCCAGTCGGTTTATCTCCGATATTTCTCATGTCCTTCGTACATTGCTGTATCCGAGCATTGCACACGGAGTTGCTATCGGTTTCAGATGATTTGCCTCCGGGAAATTTAAATCGTATATCAATTGATAATCAACTGTGCGGTTTATCCGCTGGGAAACAACGTTGTCATACAACGCAACCATTCCGAAACAGGCTTATCCAAAGAAAACATAGGATTCATTGTAAGGCAGCAATTTTTAAAAGTACGGTCCGTTCCTCGGTATAGCTATCACTGAAGCGATCCAAATATACTTAAGGTATGTACAGGTAAGCGGGTATACAGGTATATGAATACGTAAATCATAAACTTTAAAAATATACACGTGTTCACCGAAATACACCAAGTGTTAAGCCTATCACATTTAGATATTCATCCATCCTCGCTGTTCCGTTGAGCGGCGTTTTATGAATGGGGCGCATACCCGTCAAGTTCGGCACACAAAGCTTTCGCCGATAAGTCTAATTGAGTATCAATGTTTTGTAGCCCGTACCTCGCTTAAAGACAATAGCAAGCAATGATCGGCAAAACTTAATCAGTTTGGAGATCAATATTGTACGGTTGTCGGTCGGCGCGTAGCGTCATATCGCTCTGTAAGTGTTAATGTGTTAGGCCTACCCCGTTCGCCACATGTACAACATATATATACAGATATACCAACAATGGCCGATATTCAAATAAGTTATCTAAACTAAAATACAACCGTATCAGAATTCAGCACTTCGAGTTTGTATCCGACACTGGTAATGGGAATGGATTTTACTGGATTTTAAGTGAAGGGATCAAACTGTACCATAAATAAGTAAACTAGTTCCAGAATCAATTTACAACAATAAGGTCTGACAAAGGGGTGGATCACACAGAGAGAATGTTGGTTACTGTAAGTGGCTGGGTAGATAATGGGGATATATATATCAAAGTTAGGCTTTATCTCAATAAAATTTGAATTAAACATTAAAGCAATTATTTAATCAAGTACTCCTGGTACACTCCCAACCACCCCACTCTCTCGCCCTGATCGATAATTTACACAATATATATATACTCCGTTTATTACTTATATAGCTTATATCAATAATAACGGGCAACTCTCCATTATGTGCGACAAATACTTGTTATCTTGACCAAGAAAAACGAAATCAAAAACTGGTTATTAAGCAAAATAATGGAAAATAATAATATTTACTTTCGTATTGAAAAGGAAATAGTAACAACGTTTTAATTCCTCAAATTTCAAATAACGAAACGCATTTATTAATATGAGCCGAATTAAAACATGTCTGTGCATTTTATTACACAATTAAAGCTGAGAAAATGATGGTCACCAAAATTTCGTTTGAGAAAAGTTCAATGTGAATGACACTTTCAAGATTATGAATCGCTTTGTTCGTATCTTTTTAACAGGCGGTATATTATGACAGGAGGGGGATTACTTTTCCGTCTTTTATTGGTATTATTTAAGTCGACAGATTGGAGATTTGGGTGAGAAAAGAAAAGCTCTGGTTATGGCCTTACGATAGAGATTTAAACGCAAAAATATGTATAAGTTTAGCTCTAATGGCACGCATACTTTCCTTTGATTGGTTTAGTCCACATAGCTGTAAAGCTGGGTACCATCTGGTAAGTTATTCTTCGATAGACCGGCGTCCTTTCAGTGTGATTTCATTAAATTAGAACCCCCTCTCTCCGATTGTTTTAGTCCACATAACTGCATAAACTAGGTACCGACTGATGAGAAGTATTTTTTGTAAGATTGGCGTCATTCCACGATATCACTGTATATTTGTAAGATATTTGTGATATACAATAAATACAATGAGCAATAAATAAAATGCATCTCTTTTCATAAGATATCTTTTTCGATTAAACGAAATATCATTTCTATTAAAAATGTGTTTTATTATTTTGCTATTAAAACTAACATAGCTTGCCATACTTCATCTTCGAAATGTATGGTTTCCGATCTCGATGCAAAACTTTTTTTCTCTCACAAATAAGTGTGTCGACAGCGGAACCCTTGGATTTCAAAGATTGTCGCATTTGCGTTCATATAAATGGAGTCATTACTGAAGACATTTTGGTTTACTATGTTTGCTGCAGTCTACATAGTTGCATGATTAGAAATAACACTGGTGGGAAGTAAACATGCGAAAGAAGACGGGTGTCCTTCCCCCAAAAAATCTAACGATATATACGTTCTGTTGCTATATACTTGCATAGCTTATCGTTTCAGTTCTAACATATAAAAATGCTCGTATATACATCACAGCTCGCGGAAACAAACAAGAGCTGACGTCGTTCTGCACAATGTCAAGTGTCCCGAATATCATGTACTCAGCGGGTTATCAATATATAAGGTTTGACCTCTCGCTGACCCCGGACACTACTTCACCGGTGAAGTGGGTTTAGGAGTAGGGTAGGAGGGTCCAAGTCTATAAATTACATAAACATCAACATTTAAATGTGTCTCCAGTTATTTGAAATGTTAAGTTTACGCTCTTCCTGAACAATGTCCCACTTTTTGATTTAAGATAGATCGGTTTTGTACAAAAGGAACGTGACGTTTATGGAAGTGAAATCAAACTCTAGTACATCCAATTTGATTTAGTTTCTCCGAGTTTAAGTTTGTGATGGAAAAAATCAACTGGGATTTTATACGTTGGGACACGCTTTTGTAAATAGTCGCCAATAAAAAACTGTTTTCATATTAAAATTCATCACAACTTTCTTGGTTTTTCCCCCAGGACGACTCGAAGATTCGATAAATGATGTAAAAGTTGTAAAATTAGACATTGTATAGATATTTCGTGTTCCTATTTTCAAAGTTCGAGAAATCAAACCAAGGTTGAAAACTGTTGAAGAAATCAATTATATATTTGTTTATGTTACAGCAAATATAAAAAAGAAAGTTATTTATCTGTTGTGGGGAGGGTGAGGGATGGCAAATTGATCTGCAACACATTCCCTCCCTCCTGCACTTGATGGGGG